GAAAGGCCCAGAAATAGGCTGAAAACGGAGTAGGGCCTGCAGGCCCTCGTTTTTCAGCTTTCAGGCTGAAACGACCGGGGCCTGTAAGCCCTAAGTTTTAGGCTTTTAGGCTGAAAGTGCGGGACGGGCCCTGCAGGGCCCATGTGGCTACGCAGTATGCCACATAGGGCCTTAGACTGGAGGTAGTCAGGCTCATGATTCATGTTGAGCAAGAAAGTGCTCAGTAGGACTGGGTACTTTAGGTAGTCTCCCACTTCTTGGAAAGCAGTTTGTGGCTCATTATGACGCCTATGGCTCAGATTACCTCATTGTATTTTAATGCTTGCGCGTGATAAGTAACCGGACTGGTACCCCCCAGAATATACAGAGGTTGAGTCGTAAAAAAAACGAAACAAAAAAAACTTGCAAGGAACCTTGTCCCTCGGGAATGCTGGAAAAGGCCTTGCCCGCCCTAAGTGAAGGTGGGCCTGCAAATATGCGCCAAGGCCTGAGAACAGGCCGTTGTGATCACGCTAAATGGCTGTTGGAATCTATATGGCATTGCGGGCCTGTATCATCGCTGTGGCCTCTTTGTGAGTGCAAGGACTGAGCCCTTGCATAGCTCTTACGGGGCTCACTCTTGGCTAGGCTGGTGCCCTCAGCAAGCTAGGCAACCGCCCCGAGTGAAAGCGGGCCTTGAATCTCACGTGAGGCCTATTTTTGCCATTTTTGTTGTGGGCGCCAGACAGTTGCAGCAGGCCAATTGGTTATAGAGCAACATGAGCCTTTCCAGGCTCTTTTTGGAAGCTGCAGCCTCCAAGGGCAGTTGAGCCCAGGGCTAATACAGTTGAGCACCAGGGCGTATGCATCCGGAGACTGACACAGCACACAACAGCCGTGGACCAATGAGATTGCAACATTGTCGTCACACACTGGCCGTGGATGGTCTCAGAGGAGGTGAATTCAGCCGAAAAATTGGAACTCCTAAGGGCAGTCACACATAAAGGTGGAATAGGTCATCAGGCTCAGGGAAGGGGAGCGGTAACGAAATAAAACCAATCACCCTAACAGATAAAACCATCAAGCCGGGTAATGCTCGACAAAGGGTGACACCATGCAGGGTCGACCATGAAAGGGGGGCCTGGAATAGGGTTGATATGCCTAACTGAAGGCATGCAATGGCTGGCACTAGGGTAAGGAGGGCAGTGGGTGAGGGAAACATACACGCAACTCACCGACTAAGAGCGGAGCTAGATATGGGAGCAAGGAAGCCAAGATAATGCTACGGTCCCAATGCCTATGCAATACCAAGGGAGACCCAGCTAAGAGAATGTATAAACTAGGGTGGTGGCATGCAGTAATCACGTCCAAAGTAGTTAAAGCCAATAAAGAAGCTGAAGTCATGAAAGTGGTCGATGAAGTAGGAGTCAATATCAGTGTCGTCACCACGTATGGGGACGGCCGGTACGGACTTTCATATGACCGTACGTACGAGCCCGCAGCGCCCATACGGCCTGTACGTATGGGCTTCTGGCCCTCCGTATGTGGCCTTCCAGGGGGTGTTGAGGAGACGGATCATGGATGAGCTGAGAGGGGGTCAGGTGTCAGGGGGTACCCCCCCATTTGAAAAAAAAGATTTTTTTTTTTTTTTTTTTTGACTCTTGGACTCTCGAGTAGAAGAAAACAAGTTGCCCGACACAGACAGCGGACGCATGAGGACAGAGAGCAGAGATACGCAATTGAACAACACGCTCCATCACACACGCATATATATGCATTAAAAGACATCGAAAGTCTTCAAAAACTCGGACAAACAAACAAAAGTCCTTGAAAAACGCGGTAGATTGATGATTGATTCATTCATCCATTGGTTGATTGAGTGATTGATTGATTGGTTGGTTGATTGATTGATTGATTGATTGATTGATTGATTGATTGGCTGATTGATTGATTGATTGATCGTAAAATACAAAAAAAAGGAAATAAAAACAAAAAAAATCCATGCAAAGGAATGGTAGATTGATTGATTGATCGATTGATTGATTGGTTGATTGATTGATCGATTGGTTGACTGATTGATTGATTGGTTGGTTGGTTGTATGGGGGTCGCATCCCCCTCGCGTGCACACACACACATGCAGACACACACACACACACACACACACACACACACACACACACACACACACGCACACACACACATACACACATTCACACACACACACACACACACACCTGTCTCTTATACACATCTAGATGTGTATAAGAGACAGGTTGTAGAACTCATGGCGTAGATGCGTGAATGGTA